TGTGACCAGTGGAACTGGTAGTTTTTAATACAAGTTGTGTCACCTGACATAAGCAGCATGAACTCCCAAGTGCAAGAGGTCATATTCTGTTGTTTGCGTTTCTGTTTATCCCGGTAATACAAATGTGCTCGCTGTTGGTGGTTCCATCGCGGCGCCACATGTTTTAAAACCAGCAGCGTGCTTTGGGCAGCTGTGAGTGGAAATCAGGGAGCATTTGTGGTAGAGCCATATCGGTATGATATGGCTCTACCACGTAAATGGTGGACGAGCTCATATGCTCGTGACCATGGGGTCTGGCATCTTTAATGCCTTTGCGTTTTGAGTCAGGTTACATGTCTTCCTTGACAGTACCGTTTTATTTCACGTTTTCCTCTTCAATGTGTCCAGAGTGTTCCACTGTAGTTGCCTTCACATGTGCTTTCTTCTCTTCTAAGCAGTTTGTTCCAATTTAGAATGTACACCGACTGCTTTTAGCCTTACTCCAGTAAATAAATATTTACTAGAATGATCTAATCAAAACTGGAGGAGGGTGACCAATTGTAAACTTTTCCTTTTTAGCGAGTGGTCTCACTGGGACCAGCTCCTCGGAGCAAGGTAAGCCACATTTTCGTATTCTTGTAGAAGTCATACTTTGCTTATTGCTTGGTTGCATTGAAGTCCAAATCAGCAAATGATAAAAGTCGCAATGTTTCAGTTGAGAGGTCTTCGTGCTGGGCAGCAGCTCTCAAAGTGATTACTTCGAAACTCCTTGGTCGAGCAGATCATTCTTTGGTTCCATCAGCACCCACATCGATCACCCTCTCACCCTAACGTTTTAAGATTGAGAAAGACCAATTTCGCAGCTCATTCTAATATCTGTACTTTTTCAGTTCTGCTATCATTGCAATAGAGCTCACGCAGGTTGGTTTTTAAACTCTTCTATTCTTACTGGTATAATGCCCGGTGGTCAGCATTATGGTTCACGGAGACAGGGGAGTTCGCAAACCCTAGCAACAAACTTTGTTGCTGGTTGCTAGGGCTTGTGAGATGACAAATTGTGAGAGCCTCTGGTCTGGGGGTTACTAGCAACTTGCCAAAATATCCCCCTCCTCTTTTCCCCGATCTTTAAGTGGCAACAACTTTAGGTAAAATTGTTGCCAGCTTGCATTGTACTTGGAGTAGAAGAGCTGAAAAGTCAGCCTGGAAGAAGTCTGTTGCAGTGGTAGAATGAAGAAAACAGTAAGCATATTACTCCAAAGGTGAACATATTTGACAGAATTCTGTCTGGTTGGGTAGAAAATCAGGAAAAAAGGAATTTGCCTACCAAATGTGGAAAAGATCTGGAAAAAGATAGTCCCAACATTTCGAAACTATTTGTTTCTTCTTCAGGGGATGAATAATAATAATAATACTTTTATTGAATGAAAAAATAGCATGTACAGATTCAGGCCTACCGAAGCCTCATCGGGCTTGAAAGGTAGTGCCTGGCAGACAGTGACAAAGTAAAGCAATGACAGTAAAACACAAAAACCCCACATAGATAAATCAAGCTATGACACACACAGAAAAGAAATCTTTATACAATTCTATTTCTGAGCGCTTTTTTCAGTTTGTATTTTGTACTAGCACAAAAAATACTCATAGGAAGCTTGTTAAAATACGAGGGAACATAGTAACGGCGCATGCGTTCGCCATATCTTGTGCTGCACCGAGGTATACAGTAACGTTTTTTTGGCCTTAGGCAACGGGCTGGGGCATAAGGTACTTTAAAAGAACTATTCCAGAAATGACGAAAAAGTACAGTTTCTATCAACAGAGAGTTGAAATCCGGAAAGCATAATGCTCTAAATACGTCAGTATCTTTATCAAGACTTAAATCATAAGAAATAACTTTTAACAAAGAACGCAAAATTGAATTGATTCTTATTTTCCATCGAAGGGCACAGTGGCCGTACACAGTTATTCCATAACGAAGCACACTATAGCCCAGGGCATGAATGATAACCTTACGAACGGATAATGGCATAACGTATCTAACACTGTACATCAAACAAGACACCGCGCGAAGCTTCTTACAGATATGAGCGAGCTGTGAATTCCAGGCAAGATCGCTATCAAAAATCAAACCAAGGTATTTAACTGTAGATGTGTAATTCACAGGGGTACACGCGCAATTAAGACAATTAGACGTGTGCAAAAAAAGCGGAGAAGTGAGACTGACTCGTTTTAATGGGCTATGAAAACAAATTAGTTGAGTTTTTGTCGTATTAATAGAAATTAAATTTGCATCAAACCAGTCCATTGCCCTATTTGCCGCATTTTGAAGCAAAGAGATTGCGTGCAAATACTTAGAAGCGCAGGCTACAATTACAGTATCGTCCGCATAATGAAATATTGAAGTGGGCACGGTACTAGAAAGATCGTTCACATAAATATTAAATAATAAAGGACTAAGTACTGAACCCTGCGGAACACCAGCTTTAATTATCGAGAAGTTACTTCGAAATTGTTCAATCGAAACACATTGGCGCCTATCCTGAAGAAAATTTTGTAACAGCAATAAAAAGGAACCGCGAAATCCCACCATTGACAGCTTATTTAGCAACAGACGGTGACATACACTATCGAATGCCTTACTGACGTCTAGAAATAACGCGCACGCGACTTGATTCCGCTCAAACGACGAGTTCAGCAAATCAGAAAAATCTTCAAGTAACATTTGAGTGCCTCGACCTTGCACGAAACCGTACTGAGAGGGCGACATAATACGATGCTTATCCAAAAAGCGTGTCATGACCAAGCACAAGTGTTTTTCTAACAGCTGAGCAATACCTGGTAAAATTGAAATCGGACGATAATTTTCAATATTATTTCGCGCTCCAGCTTTGAAAAGCGGGATAACGATTGCCGTTAAGTGCAGTCTCTTCATCTTTTAGGTGTTACATCACTTTGTCTTTGTCGGTGTTGTTGGGTTAGCTTCGTCGTGCCCTATCCGTTATCCCATTGTGGAGGCCGTTCACATATAACGTAGGAAGTGTCCCTAGTGACCTATTGATGATGTTTGAAGTGTGTTGAATATGCCATGATTCAATGAGCCGCCTCCTACGTAGATTTGGTGCCGTGTCCAGGATGCTTGCGTTCTCAAATGCGGTGGTCGAGGTTATCACAGTGTTCAGCGAAAGCACTGCGCTCTTTGTCAAAGTTTCTCACATCGTTCTTATGTTGGTAAAGCTGGTCGTGAAAGTTCTTTGTTTCGCCGATGTAAGAGGCAGGGCACTGGGAGCATGGGATCTTATAAATGACACCTTAATTGGGCCTTCGCCTTCGGTGGTCTGTTCTTAGGGCGAGGTAGAAAGCATCCGACACTGGTTTGTGAGCAACCAGGACGTGTTCTTTTGCAAACAGTCGGGATAGCATCTCGCTTATCCCTTTCTTGTAAGGGATGCTAATCCGTGCTATCGGTTTGGAATTTATCTAAGGTTGTTTCATCCAATTACGGTTCTGACGACGGATGACGTGGTGAATGAAGTTACCGGGGGAGCCGTTCTTCCTTAGGTCGTCCATGATAATCCGTTCCTCCTTTCTTTTGTCGTCCTCAGATGAGCACAAGGTGTTGGTTCTGTTAAAAAGAGCAGAAACGACACATACCTTATGGCCGACAGGGTGGTTGTAGTCCTCCAACCATTACCTCCAGTTCGACTCCACCCACCGTCGGCCATAAGGTATCTGTCGTTTCTACTCTTTTTAACAGAACCAACACCTTGTGCTCATCTGAGGACGACAAAAGAAAGGAGGAACGGATTATCATGGACGACCTAAAGAAGAACGGCTCCCCCGGTAACTTCATTCACCACGTCATCCGTCGTCAGAACCGTAATTGGATGAAACAACCTTCGACAGTTTCCAAACCGATAGCACGGATTAGCATCCCTTACAAGAAAGGGATAAGCGAGATGCTATCCCGACTGTTTGCAAAAGAACACGTCCTGGTTGCTCACAAACCAGTGTCGGATGCTTTCTACCTCGCCCTAAGAACAGACCACTGAAGGCGAAGGCCCAATTAAGGTGTCATTTATAAGGTCCCATGCTCCCAGTGCCATGCCTCTTACATCGGCGAAACAAAGAACTTTCACGACCAGCTTCGCCAACATAAGAACGATGTGAGAAACTTTGACAAAGAGCGCAGTGCTTTCGCTGAACACTGTGATAACCTCGACCACCGTATTGCATTTGAAAACGCAAGCATCCTGGACACGGCACCAAATCTACGTAGGAGGCGGCTCATTGAATCATGGCATATTCAACACACTTCAAACATCATCAATAGGTCACTAGGGACACTTCCTACGTTATATGTGAACGGCCTCCACAATGGGATAACGGATAGGGCACGACGAAGCTAACCCAACAACACCGACAAAGACAAAGTGATGTAACACCTAAAAGATGAAGAGACTGACATCCTTTATTCATCCCCTGAAGAAGAAACAAATAGTTTCGAAATGTTGGGACTATCTTTTTCCAGATCTTTTCCACATTTGGTTGGCAAATTCCTTTTTTCCTGATATTACTTCAAAGTGTGGAACTGCTTTGCTCATGACTGCAAGTTATCAGATTGTTTGGTCACACAGGACGGGAGAGAGACTTCAAAACTAATTTTAATTGCACTCCAGTTCGTAGAAAGAATAACACACAGAAGGACGAGACACAAACACAAACACTCGCATACACAGGGACAGGACACGAACACAGGCAGGCATACAATCTTTCTGATTTTATCTGTGTCTGTTTGTGTGTCTGTGTTTGTGTCCTGTCCCTGTGTATGTGAGTGTTTGTGTCTTGTCCTTCTGTGTGTTATTCTTTCTACGAACCGCAGCGCCTTTCACCAACATGCTCCCTTTGCTTCTAATTTTAATTGTCAGAGAGAGGCTAACAAAATTTGCACCATGTGTCTACTATGTTAGCCAACTGTTCTGGGCCGAAATAATTTTTGTCATTACATTGTGGTTCAGCCTCATCGACATCATCTGGGCAAAGCCTGACCAGAGTGGACGGTGCCCTGGAGGCGCCTTCAGGTTCCATTGAGGAACTCCCGGCAGGAGCTGGGATGACGTTGGGGGCCTCAAATTGTAAGTCCTCCAATTTTTACTGTATGCAACCAAGCACAACACCAGTCAGTGGTCCTTGTGTTAGCCTTTTTAATGTTTTATTTCCTAACACCGGCCTAACCAAAGGAGCTTTGACATGTGGTTTTTATATATATATATATATATATATATATATATATATATATATATATATATATATATATATATATATATATATATATATATATATATCCCTTGACGTCAGCCATCTTGATAGTGTCAAAATGAAAGTGTGAAGTATTAATGCTCAAGGTCTGAATATTTGGTGAGTAACAACTGGCCACAAGGTGGTGGGCACTCCAGCTTTTCTCCGGGTATTTTATACTCAGAAACCTGTAATCTAACTTGCGAAAGCAAGGGCCTGCCGGCCTGTTTAACCACTGTTATAGTAGACTTGTTTGCACTGGCTGTCCTAGTTTAAGTGTGCCGGGCTGGCATTTTGAACCTGTCGGCTGCAGTGCTGGGATATGGTTTCCAAATTAAGCTTAGGAGTTTAAGAATGTTGGAACATTCATATCTTTTATTCAGCATGATTCTACTAGGAGCCAAATGTGGGAATTACTAGCTAGTAATTAGCTTGTCAGCTTTGGACCTTATAGCGTAACCATCATTTATCTTTTTTTAATGCTTCAGCTGAATAGTGCATGAATAAGAGGTAATTGCTGTAATGTGTTTCCCACTGGCAGTGACACAGCTACCTTTTTTTTACAGCTAATTTGTATAGTGTTTCCTAGTATAGCAGCCGTTGAGTTGTACTGTCAAAATAGCTGAAATGACTTTGCTGACTATGATTGCACCTCCTATGTTAGTTATGGTGCAACAAGGTTGCTGATCAGCTTATGAGACCAGCTCTACCCAATGCTATTTCCTTCACTCTGGGGACTTCTCAACATATTCCTTGCATTGGTGGAAAACTGATGTAATTTTTTGTCTACCATTTGTTGCATTGACATGATTGATGCACAGCTGATACAACCTGGCTGGTTTATGACGGCTTAATGCAGCCCTTTTTCATACAGCCATGTGCTTTCTTTTATGGTTCAAATATGAGATAATAAAGATCAAGGTTAAATATAATTGTTTGTTTTTTTGTATTTGCAGGCTCCTGCTATGCACACTGCAAAATATATATTTTATTTATGAATTTTTTCACACCATTTATACAATGGGCAAAGTGTGTGCAACCACGGTGTGTGAGTTGTGTACTCCAAAACTACCATCTGCAGGCAGCCTCAAATTTAGCACACACATAACAGTGCTTGTCTCTTAGCGAGTGCAGTCATAAACATATATATTTTTAGGTTCACGGCTCCTGATGATTTCTTTTATCAGTCAAGCCATTTTAATCTTTTGCTTTTAAAGAAGGGAAAGACTGGTGTCCGCTAGTGCTGCACAGCTTACTTCTCCATAGGACCCAGGGCCAGAGCTTGATAATGCATTACTCACCCTAATTAATCTTCCATTTCAGGTCCAGAGCAGTCTCCAATAGTTAAGCTGGTGCTTGAGCTTCGGCTACAGAATGGGGAGATTTTGCGGCAGTTGGGGGCGATGCAGCAGGACATTAGAAACTTAAGTTTTAATTTATCGCAAATGAAGGCCTCAATGTCTGCTGCACCGCCTTCGCCGGAAATGGCTCCAGAGCCGTCGCGGGCGCCCCTTCCAAAGCTGCCCGCGGCGACTATGGAAGAATTCAGGGAATTGGAAAATGCCCTGAAGGATAAAGCTACAGCCACAGCCCTGGTATGTTGCACTTTCCTCCTTTCATATGATGATTTTTCTAACATGCACTGCAGTGCTTGTCGCTGGCTCATAATGTCGACTATCATACTCGGCCACTAAACGGGTGGACACTGCATTTGCTTTACTCAATGTTAATAAATGATAGCTTTTCAGTATGAAGAAAAATGAAAACTGGTTGTGTCGTCATAGCCGTGTTTCTGTGTTTGATTTGGTATTTGGTCATGCTTCTACATTTCCGTTGTCCCTTGTCTTTCACAGCAGCTGGAGGTGGCTACGTGGGTCAGGGCAACTGACACGGTTGCCGAGGCCTGCCGAAGCCTTCTGGAAAGGGCCCTCAAGAAGGAGGTCCAAATAAAATTTAGCCTCCTGGGCCGGAAAGGCAAGCTACCTTTCCGGGGGACCCTCCTCTGCCACATTGTGACAGGTATGATTATATTTGCTTAATTGATCAACACATTGATAGATCCTTGTTATTCGAGTTTGCTGAAGTGCATGCAACTGCTTGACTGTTATAGCATGTCACTTTCAAATCAAATCCTTTATTTGTGCCTGTGATGTAGCATATAGTACAGGCACTGGGAGGCAGACAAAAACCCAGCAGTTGTTGGCTTGACAAGGTTTGCACACTTGTTCACTCAGCAAGCAGCAAGGTGACAAATGTGATACAAAGAAAAATATAAGAGAAAAAGAATTGCACCAATAAATGTTAGTAAACACTATAAACTATTTGGGGATTAGTTTACAGAGCTTGAAACATGATTTGTCTCATCGAAGGGTGGTCACAGGTTCTATTTGTACTTTTTGTCATAATAATTGGTTTGGTGATGATGGGAGATGATGCTTTAACATTTGTGTGCAGTGGTTATAGTTCAATTATGAGGAACAGTCTATAGGCTACCATCACGTAGGTTACAGGCAGCAGTGATCTCAGTCAGGTGAGGTATGGAGGGTAATCTCAGTGTGTTAAATTTATTATACTTTAATTATGTACCATATGGTGCTAGAGAATATTCACATTGGCTAGTATTTGGAAGAAGGTTCATTGTATGAAAAAGATTTTTAGTCTTGAGTGTTATATTTTACATTTACAATAATACACACAGCCTTTTTCTAAAGTAAGTTCGTTTTCAACAATGCTTCTAATCTGTTATAGCGTAGCATATTTAGTTCAAAAGGCCTATTATAGTGCCTGAAAATTCTAGCTATGCCTGAATGCAGCATATACTCTATCTCACAAGTTGCATGCAGTGTAGTGCAACTGTAGCCCTTGTCAGCCAATCAAGAACATAAATGCACCAGTGTACATGTGTTCTTACACAGCGTATCAGTCTTCGCCTGCATTGTCTGGTCTCTGTAGAAGCCATTACAGGCAATTAAGTTATTCCTTACAGTCTGCCGAGTCATTCCATATGCCTGAATAGTTCATACTCTATAAATTCAGCATAATCTCGATGATAGGGATTACCCGGGAACACGAAAAAATATTCATATAATCCTGAATTTGTTTAATCCAAGACAAGCTAACTTGTGTGTATACTTTGTCTGTGATGTTTGTTTGCACTCTTCTGCCCTTGTAGTTGCTCATAAGCCCCATCCAAAATGCATAAAGCTGCGCAGCGCTTTCTCGGCTCATATTGCTTGCACTTATGGTGCAGCATGGAACATCAAGAGCGTTAAGTGTTTCTACCATCGACGACACAGCTTTGTTGGGCATGTGAGTTAACCTTGGCTCGTTGGGCTGTGAGCCAGGCATTCTGCCGCTTGGCCAGCATAGACTGGAGGTGGAGAGGGGGCCAGCGGCAACTGTGCGTACTCTCTTCCCCTCTAAGACCAGCTGCGCCCACCCACTCGTTTCGCATGCACCGATGGTTCACGTGCTCATATCACCCGGGACGACTTGAGTACTGTTTGTATCATCCTGAATGGCAATATATTCAATATTGCCCGGACCATCTTTAAATTCACGTGACCCTGAAATTCCGGTCAATCGTTATTGTATCATCGACATTTGACTCTGTGCAATCTGAGCCGTACCGGAACTTGTAACCGCATTGGGTACTCCTCCACCTCGTCGCACCTTGCAGCTCCACACTGCACACAACTACTGAGACAGAGTATAGCTGTGCAGTGCTGATGGGAACCTCTTCTTAGAATAGAAGTGTGGTCATTAGTATAGTAATCAGTAAAAGAGAGGAGCATGTTGCTTCTCTGTACCTAGCTCTTGACCTGACATCTGTATTTTAATTACTACTGCTCTGGATAGAGATTTAACCCTGGTTGGATCCAATTTCCTGATCCTAAGACTATTCTAAGTATCAGCGGCAACCGTTATGCCTTGATGTTTAATGCAGAACGTTTAAAATTTCCACTTTCAGAGACCATCAAGAGTGCGAAGGCTGCCAATGTGCCAGATGTCGAAAAGGCCATTGGCAAGTACCTGGCCGGTGCTGTGGACCGGGAGGGGGGCAGGCGCGAGAGGTTTTGCCGCCAAACAGAGGCCAGTCAACTGCCAACTGGCGATGTGTGAAGTGCAAAAAAAAAATAGCACAGAAAGTTGTTTTCAAAATAAATTTTTAGCAAAGAAATTATTTTGTTCATTTGCATGGCAAACTAAAATGCACGCAATATTTTCTTATGGTAAAATTATATATTTTTAGCCTGCATGTTGCAAAGAAAATCTTCAGTGTTATCAATACAAGAGAGCTAAAACTATTATCTGTTGTTGCAGTTGTACATTATATTGCCAAATATCGGGAAGAGCCTGGCGGCAAAGGGTTACCAGTGCAAGTGTGGTAAACTGCTCAACCATGGTGCCAGGAGAAAGGCACGCCCAATATTTGTAGTAGCTTAGCGAAAAAGGCCTTCGGACATTTGGTTGCCGTTCCGACAGAGATTGGCAGCCAATTTTAACGTGGTTGGCAAAACCTATCTAGGCTAAAAGGGCAGTGCCGTTATGCCCAATATTGGCTGAAAATGGGCAAGCGGAGTGGTCCAATATTGGCTGAAAATGGGCAAATAGAGTGGTCCAATATTGGCTGAAAATGGGCAAACAGAATGGTCCAATATTGGCTGAAAATGGGAAAATAGAGTGGTCCAATATTGGCTGAAAAGTGGCAAACAGAATGGTCCAATATTGGCTGAAAATTGGCAAACAGAGTGGCCCGATATTGGCAGGCTAGCTGGCCCAATATAGCGCCTGGTAGCGTTTGCCTATATTGACCAATATTGGTGCCAGCGTGAGCCGATATAGGACCGTCATTGGACCAATATTGGGGTGCTACTTGGGCTGCTTCTGAAGTTTTTATTTTTTTATGATTTTGAGAAAGCACATGGTTTTTGATCCGTTTGCGAAATTCTGCTGCCAGATATGAAGCTGCTTGCGCTTTCGCAATATTGTTTTGCCCTTTTTTGTGTTTTGGTCAAGCATGTTCTGCGGATTTATCATTTCTACATCGAGGTTTGGCACTGCCTGAGCTTGATTTTGCCGGCAGTGTTCGCTTGTTTACGGTGTTGTGTAAAGTGCATATAAAAAGTACTTCTAGTAAGCTGCAAAGTGATTAAGAAGTTATGTACATATTATACATAACCTCAACTACATAATCCTATGTACGCCGAGTGCAATGTACTAGAAGTGAGGGACTATAAATACGATGTACTTTTAAAGTGAAGTTCAAGTTCATTTAACACAATATTTTCTTATGCCTTTTCGCCCCTTATACAGTGTTTTTATACCTGGTATTCACTGCTTCAGGGGCAATCGAATGTGCATCAGTTTTCTTGTAAATAGCGGCATATACTGGATAAAGTCAAGTCGCCACAGACTAGATGTTGTAGTCTCGCTGACAAACTATTTAACACAATCAACTTATAAGGTGCTTATTTGTATTGGTCTAATAGCCGCCGTTACTTCACTTCGAGAAGGGACTAGGTGACGTCCCAAAAATGGCGTATCGTCAAGTTTTCACATGACGATACGCCATTTTTTTTGTTTTCAAATTTGGGCAATGTAGTATGAAGTCGGGAGTTGTACTTTTCTCGTAAAGTACAAAAAATACTTTAGTAAAGTGTAAGTAAATGCTCAAAAAATGCACTTCAATTAAGATACAATTTTTCTAAACGTATTTGAAGTAGTACTTTAAGTATTATGCAGTTAAACTATGTCCCAAAACTGCGCGCTTATTATTTTTTGTGTAAACGTGTGAGGAGAATACTAAGGTCTATCGAACATCTTTGGATCTTGGAAGACTTGCATATCCTGAGTTTCTGGAAGAAGCTTTTAGGACTCATATACTGCGTTTTGTGAGCCACGCGATTCGTCAAGTACAGCACAAATTACGGGAGCACCAGTAAAGCTTCAGAGCGGGTGCTGCGTTTCGCTGCCTCTTATGAGTGAGGATGCAGTGTGTATACATCATGTACTGGGTGAGAGTTCCCACGTTGATGAGAAGGGGGACAAGCCCTTTTTTTAAATGCGTCAACTCTCCTTGATCTTCGGGACACAAAGAATCCCGTCTTCGGCGCAAATTCTGCAATAACTCGGCCTCACTTTCGACGTGTCTGTTCACTCCGCACGCCTCGTAGCAGAGTTGTTCTAGTGAAGGGCACGTAAAAATTCAAGAGGGTTCGGACCCTCCAGACCATTCCCCTCTCCCTCTGCCTACGCAACATGCCCCCCCCCCCCTTCGTAAATATCAGCTGATCATCTAACATCTTATCTTTTTGTGCATGGACCTTTGTTGGTAGGCATACCTACCGCTAATATTGAAAAGTAATTTATGATTTGAGTAGAAGGAACCTGGAAAAAATAAATTAAAATAAAGTACTAGTTACCGATATAAAAATGTAATTGAAAGCTACTAAACTACTAAGAAAAGTAGTTAAGGTACAGCAACTTGAGCAAAATAGATGTACTACGTACTCGTCTGAAACACGGCCACATCTGAAGAGAGTTTTATTGACCACTTTTGTAACACACTCAATGTAATTTTTAACATTTTTTTGGTACACGGGACATGCTTTTTTCTCGACAAGACGGTTCAGACCTTGGAAAGTTTACAAGCGACTAAAATTAAGATAAAAATATGAATCTGTTAAAAAGCTTAATAAACAGTAACCCAACGTTTCGAGACTAGTTCGGTGCCTTGTTCACGGCTGAGTGGCAAGAACAAAGATCTGATTCATGCAAAGAAGCTGGCTGCACTTCAGCCGGACAACTCAGCCTCCAGCCTCCGCGGAATCGACCCGAGGTTCGCGTGCAATCTTTCATCGAGATAGCTCTTCTATTCGGTCACATCGGTACTAGCAAGAGACCGGGGTTCAACTTAACCGCTCGCAAGCTTACCCTCCCTGCTATTGTTCCGGTTGCCAAAGACGGACTTCATGGGTTGGATCCGGCTACTCGCAAAAAAGCCCGGTTAAAAGCCATCGCATCATATCTCAGGCCGTTCAGCGGAAACCTCTTAAAATTTTGGCAGAGTAAAAGCAGGTCTTGCGTCGCCTCAATGAAATCAAAAACATCGGAGTGTTGTGGGCAGACAAAGGAGTCGCTACCGTCGACATAGAGAAGAATTACGACCAAGAGGTGCTAAAGCTCATGGGCAGCAGTGCCTACGCCCTTTCCAAGGCATCCTACAAGAAGTGGAAAAGAAACGCTCAACAAAAAACAATGGTAATCATCTTCAAGAAATACCCAGATTTCCGCAGCCTTTACATGAGGCTCATCTGCATAAATGGATTCATCCCGGCGTTGTACGGTCTCCTCAAGATGCACAAGACCGGTGTACCACCTCGCCCTATTGTGGACTTCACAACGTCACCTTTGCGCGCCATCTCCAACTACCTCCACAGGTTTCTCTCACCCCTCACCGGAAAGACTCCAACATACGTGCAGAACTCTAGTAACTTTATAGAACTTGTTTCCAAATTAGAGCTACGTGACGACGATAGTCTCGTCTCTTTTGACGTGGTGTCTTTGTTCACCAGCATCCCTGTGCCCTTAGCTGTATGTGTTGCAAGACGTGCGCTCGCGGCAGTCAACTCCCGGAGAGAACGTGCCTATCGGTAGACAAGATCTGCCGACTGCTAGAGTTCGGCCTGAACCGCACGTACTTCTCATTTAGCAAAAAGCACTATAAAAATTTACAAAAAAACAGCCGTAAAGCTATGGGGGCAGCAACATCTGTGACACTGGAAAGCCTCACAATAAAAGCAATCGAACGCAAGGCTCTCGACTCTTTCGAGCCTAAACCCAGAACCTTCCTACGTTACGGGGACGACTGCTTCTGCGCCCTTAAAACCAGCGAGGTGGATCATCTTCAAGGGCTCTTGCACTCGGTGGATGCGACGACAGTTCATGGTAAACGCAAAGACAAAGGTTCCCTTCCGTTTCGGGCAATATGCTTCTCTGTTTACAGGAAGCCAACCTGCACTGGCAGATACTTGGGGTTTGATTTCCACCATCCCCGGTCCCATAAAGCGTCAGTGGCCTTTGCGCTCTTCAGGCGCGCCCTTGCCACCTGCTCTACAATGGAGTGTCTCCAGGGTGAAATTAAGGTCGTAACATCGGATCCCCGGTAGAACGGCTACCCCCAACGGTTTATTCGTTGAATTCTCGAAAATCAAGGCATCCACCCGTAGGGCGTAGCATTCCCCCCTCCGGTCGCGTCTGTACGCCTTGCATTAGCCGCACCAGCGAGGCCCTTTCCAGCATTATCGATCGCTATCACATAACCCGTGTCAACACTCGGTCATCACCTCTCCCTTCGAAAGATGGGCCCCCCAAAGGAAAGACCAAAGGCTTGGTTTATCGCCAGGCATCTAAAAATTGCCCGGCCTCATACGTTGGCGAAAGGAAGAACTTCGCAGAGAGGTATACGCGACATAGGTACAATGTCCGGAGGAAGGGGGGGGGGGGGGGGGGGGGGGCAAGCGTCCTCGCGGAACACTTAGAAGCAGCGGGCCACACAGTCGACTTCGAGAGCAGCTTCGTGCTGCCCCCGGAGTGGAATTGGCGAAAACTGCTTTTCGTTGAGTCTTGGTTCGTTCAGCGCTCGAGGGGAACCTGAATTGTCTTCGGACTCCCTGCCCAGCAGTTATGTCTCTAGACTGCGTGACGTTAGCAAAGCCCCATACATCCGTGTGTGCATTAAGGGCGCGAGTCCTTTTCGTCACTCACCCATGAACAAGGAACCGAACTGGTCTCGAGACGTCGGGCTAGTGTTTAATAATGTCTTGGAGTCATGTTTCTTTTAATGTATATTCCTAACCAGGCAGAGGGCTGCCGAACGTTGGACCTGAAGGGGCTGAAAACACAACATTGGTGTTGTGCCTTGCAGCTATCTTTTTACAAATTGGGAAACACAATGTGCATGTAGGGCACCACACGGACTGGTATTCTTACGTTTTGCTCTTGACATTTTTCGCCGCTTGGAGGTTAATATTATTGCGTGAACTTTTCACGA